TCAGCCTCCTTAGTAGTTAGGGTTACAGGTGTGAACCACTAGTGCCTGGCTCGTTAATGATATTAACTAAGGACATTGAAAAACACTAAGCATTACCTGGCAAGGAATCGCACCGCCCCATTCTTGCTGAACAATGTTACAGACACCAACCAGTGCGGACTCTAGGCATGTCTTGTCGTAATGGTCCATGTTACTCAGTGCTTCCTTATTGGGCGAGAAAAAAATTGCTCATTATTCTCAACTGTTTTGTTATTAGAAACCAATATAAACTGTATGAAGTCTGAATATCATACAGCTAACACTGAGTTTCTGTAAGCCCCAAAACATAGGTTCCAGAAAACACACACACACACACACACACACACACACAAACACAGCAAAACAGACTTCCTCAACTGTAAAGGACAATGAAATAAGCTTAAAGCAATGACCAAAATGTATGGACCATTAACCATAATCTCCTAAACAACACCATTCTGTGCACTTTACACGGACTTAATCTTCCTACCATTGTTAACCGTACTTTTAAATGAGGAATTTTTTTGGGGGGGTCCGGTCATGGGGCCTGAACTCTGGGCCTGGTGCTGTCCCTCAGCTCTTCAGGTCAAGGCTAATGCTCTACCACTTGAGCCACAGCACCACTTCTGTCTTTTTTCTTTTTGCCTATGTGGTGCTGAGGAATCGAACCCACGGCCTCATGCATGCAAGGCAAGTGCTCTACCACTGAGACACCTTCCCAGCCCTAAAGGAGGAAATTTTTAAGAAGTGGCCTGACTCCAGAGCTTCTGCTTTTACCTCTTACACCTCATTCATTACATTGCAATTCTCTAAATTTTAGTACTGCTAAACACCAAAAAAATCTTTAGCTATTTGAGAGGCAGAGATTGGGAAATTGCTGTTAAGAGGCTGGCCTGGGGAGAAAATTCACAAGACTCTAAGACTAGGTGTGGTAGCACACGCCTGTTATCCCCACTGACATGGGGAAGCACAAGTGGAAGGATCAAAGCCCAAACCATCCAGGGCATAAACTGAGACTATAATCTGAAAATACCCAGTACCAAAAAGGGTGGGAAGTATGAGTCATGTGGTAGAGCATCTACCTACCAAGCATGAGGTCCTGAATTCAAGACTCAGTACCACCAAAAGAGTGCACCAGTTCGATTAAAAAAAAATTTAAGTCTCATAAAGATGCAGGACAATAAAAGGAAAGATTTAATAAAAATTAGTAACAATTCAGCCGGGCGCCAGTGGCTTATGCCTATAATCCTAGCTACTCAGGAGGCTGAGATCTGAGGATTGCAGTTCAAAGCCAGCAGGGGCACGAAAGTCCATGAAACTCTTATCTCCAATAAACCACCACAAAACCGGAAGTGGCGCTGTTGCTCAAGTGGTAGAGCACTAGCCTTGAGATGAAGAACTGAGGGACAGTGCTCAGGCCCAGAGTTCAAGGCCCACAAATGACAACAAAAAAATAATTACTAAGAATTCAAACTACATTAGTACTGCATTTCCAAATTGCCCAACAATTATTTAATTGCTCAGTTTAATTTCAGAAACACACTGTGCTAAGAACTATAGGAGATATTAATAGTTTAAAGACATCTGGCTAGCTCATAGAACTCATAAATATTATAGATCACGACAGACAATTTGCCCCCATGAAATCACAATGTGTTTGTGATTTTAACTAAGCATCACTATCTCGCAATACAGTGAATAAAGAATTTGAAAAAAAAATAAAGACATCTGGCTTATCTCAGAAAAATATCTTTGAAGGACAATACCTATTAAGATTTTAAAATGACAACATTGAGCTGGGTACTAGTAGCTCATACCTGTAATCTAGCTACTCAGGAGGCTGAGATCTAACGACATTTGATGCCACCTTGGGCAGGAAAGTCCATGACACTCTTATCTCAATCAACCAGCAAAAAAGTTGGAAGTGCAGCTATGGCTCAAGTGGTAGAGTGCCAACCTTGAGCAAAAATTTCAAGGATAACGCCCAGGTCGTGAATTCAAGACCCACAATGGAAAAAAAGAAGAAAAAGAAAAAAAATAATATCTTGGCATCTATAAATGAATACTATCTGTTGGAGAATAAGCATCATTCTGAACTTTCTAGAAGAAGTTTTTGTGTGTGTGTGTGTTTTAATAAGGGCTATTTTTCATTACCTTAAAATTGGATGAGAAAGTAGAAAACAGCAGAATGGCAAAAAATGTTGAATTTAGGGACTGAAGCATGGTATGCTGAAATCTTCACCTTTCCTAAGAATTCCAGAAAATGGACCATGACCTTTCTCTGCTTATGTGGTGCTGAGGAATCCAACCCAGGGCCTCATGAATGCGAGGCAAGCACTTTACCAGTGAGCCACCTTCCCAGCCCCCATGACCTCTTTCTCTACCTCATAGCTTTACAAAAGAAAGGCCTAGGACCTATTGGTTATGAATTATGCTTTATAGCTGTGCATATTAAGTGCCTGTATATTTATTATTAAATAATTCTAAGGTCTAAAATCAGTACACTCTTATCATACTGCTTTCTTTCCAATCAATTTGGGTCTTTATTCCTTTTTGTACCTGCAGGGTGTTATAATCTCTTGTGAAGGGGACCATCAGCTCCCAAAGTGATGAGAAAACCACTAATGCTGTGAATTCAAGCTTGTAGTTTGTGGCCATGTGCTCAAACAGCATTGTCAGCCCATGGGCTGCAAGGTGCTTCCGCTGGTATTCCTCAGACCCCTCGACTGACACAGGCCGAGTCCATCACCACCACTGTTGGCATGGTGAACAGAATCCAAGTGAGCCCAGTCAGAATGCAGACAACAAGCTACAAATAGTGAAATGCTGTGGGGAAAAAAGAAGTCAGAAGTGTCACAGAAGGAAAGCAGTATCTTTTCACCATAACTGTAACCAATTTTCCAGAAATAAGGCAAGGTGACCCCTAGATAGGTCAATCTGCAGAGAATTCTGGGAGAAAGAAGACAGCAGCCTAATTCACTGGGAAGACCACTCCCAGACACGTTCAAAACACACTATCTACACCTGTGAATCAAGGGCTACCTTATGACCAGTGGGAAAAAGCATTAAAGGTAGGCCTTATTTCCAACTTTCAATTTTTATATAAAGTATGTATTTATTTATATAAATATATATATACTTACATATATACATTTATGTATATATACATATATAGAGAGGGGGGAGAGAGAGAGATACACACACACACATATACACACTCGTGGTTCACAACTGTAATCCTAGCTACTCAGGAGGCTGAGATCTGGGGATCATGGTTTGAAGCCATCTCAGACAGGAAAGTCTGTGAGACTTTTATCTCCAATTAACTGGTAGTTAAAAACTAGAAGTGGAGCTGTGGCTCAAGTGGTAGAGTACTAGCTTCGAGTGGGAGGAGGGGTAGGGGGGGAGCTAAGGGTCAGCACCCAGGCCCTGAGTTTAAGTTTCAATACTGGGGTGCATTAATGCACACGCACGGGCGCACACACACACACACACACACACACACATTATAGCTTAATGCTGGTGGCCTTTAATACTAGATACTCAGGAAGCTAAGGTCAGAGGCATTCATTTTGGAGCCAGTCTGCTCATCAGTCATGAACCAGCAAGGTGAGGGAAAGCATGAAGCCCTGAATACAAGCCCCAATAGCAGCCCCAAAGTAAAATTAAATAAATATATAAATGAAATGTAATTGGGCTACTGTGAACCACTATGTTCTAAGTTTCCAACAGCTCCCTTATAATTTGAGTTTTAGAATATCACACATCCGTGCTTGGGCATTGTACCAGCAAGCAGTCTGGCTATTGTTAAACATTTTGAAGGGAATTCCAAAAAACAAACTTAGTGAACATTTACCTTGTGTAATGTTTTTACATCTACCTAAAGTCTTCCACAATTGTATACATTGTATGAAGTATACACATATAGTCCTATAACCCACTTTCCTTAGTTATGTATTTTTTTTTAGCTGGGTCATTTATTTGTAACTACATGCTATTTCATTGTGTCAACAGACTAGTTTCTCTCTCCTTTCCTTCCCTTTCCCATTCTTTCCTTTCCTTTCTGTGGTAGAGCTTCAACTCAGGGCCTGGCCATGTCCCTGAGCTTTTTCACTCAAGCCTAGAGTTCTACCACTTTGAACCACAGGCACTCTTTTGGTTTTCTGGTAGTTCACTGGAGATGAGTCTCACCGACTTTCCTGCCTGGGCTAGCTTTGAACCTTGATCATGAGATCTCAGCCTCCTGAGTAGTTAGGATTACAAGTATGAGCCACCGGCGCCAGGCTCCTGGGCTGGCTTTTAACTGCTTTTAACTCTTCAGATCTCAGCCTCCTAAGTAGCTAAGATTATAGGCTTGAGCTACTGGTGCCCGGCACACTATAGTTTCTTAACAGAGGATCAACAAGTTGTATCTACATTAGTGCGTCTCTGTATTTCTTATTTCTTTATTTTTGTGCATAGAATTTTTTTTTAATTTTTTGAATGTGCCAGTATTAAGATGGGAATCTCTAGGATTCCATCTGGGTTGGATTTGAGATGTGATCCTCTAGGTCTCAGCCTGCTAAGTAGCTAGAATTAAACCTGACTGAAACAATGTTTTAAACAGGGGGTTAGGAACACAGGTTAAACAGCAAAAGCCTTTTTTTTTTAAACCTCATAATAGACATAGATATGTTTCAAATAGGAGTTCAGCTTTCCACATCAATAGACTAACCAGAAAAAAATTCACTCCTGAGAAGTCCCAAATGTTTAACTATTTTGAGAGACAAATTTAAATTTGTCTCCCTCATCTCTGCCTATTAAAGTTGTTTGTTCAACATAACCCTGTTAAAAATGTGGTAGCAGCACCGCTGCTTCGCTCTGCAGTCATGTTCTCTGTGTGTGACAGAACACGGTGTTGGATGGATGCTTGAAGAAAAGTGATTGAAGCGTCTCAGCAGCTCTACAGAACACCGTCCAGCTAAGGCCTGCATCAGCGGCTCACGCCGGTAATCAACAGGAGGCTGAGAGCTGAAGATGGTGGTTCGAAGCCAGCCCTGCCAGGAATCCTAGTCCTTGAGACTTCCTTTTTTTTAAATCTCCATTAACCTACCGAAGAAAACGGGATGTGCAAGTGTGGCTCCAGTGGTAGGGCGCTAGCCTTGAGCTCAGGGCCGGGCTCAGGCCCTGAGTTCAAGGCCCCAGAACCAGCGCTAGAACAAAACCAACCCCCTCAGGGACGAGCCTCAAAGCGTGGGCCTCGTCTGAGTCTCCCAGCCGCCGCGGAGGCCGCAGCTACCTGTCAGCCTTCTCCCGGGCAGACGTCTGGCTGCAAATGTGCTTCCATACGGACGGCGACGAGAGGTGCCCCCCCCCAACAACCGACCACCAACCTCTAAAATCAATGAAAAGAATCCGAGACCGGGAAGTCCCTCCTGAGGAAGGCGGGGGAGAGAGGGGCCTAAAACGGGGCGCAATGTGGCTGTTCCCACAGCGCTCGGCAGCCCCGGGTCGCGGAGCGCAGGGACCCCGGGAATGGCGCCCCAGAGCCGGCGCGGGGAGGCCGCAATGGCCGGGCGCTGGGCCTGCGCGGCTCTTCTCACCTCGCCCTTCGCCTGTGTCCCTACAACCGATTGAACGCGATACTCAGGCCGCCGCCGCCGCAGCCTCCTCCACTCACCCCAAGCCCATCGCCGGCGACAGTCCGTCCGCTTCAACTTTCCGCCCGGGCGCCACAACCGGAACTATAAGGGCCGCGGGACCACAAGAAGCCCGGCGCTGTCGGCGTCCCGAGAGGAGCGGACCGGGCTTCGGGGGCAGGAGGAGCTGGAGGGGCGGGGCTTCCGGCTGGGCGGGGACGGGCGGGGCTGTGGCTCGGCTGGGCCACTAGGGAGCGCGTCCTCCCCAGCTCCTCTCCGCGGGGCGGGTAGGGGCGGGGTTAGGGGCGGGGTGGAGAGGCCCCACCCTCTTCCTCGCGCAGCCCTAGGAACACAAAGCCCTCTGGAAGGCCTTACACACTATTTTATCTAGTGACACAGGACTCAGGGCACCAGAAAATTGGAACGGGAGCTGTGACTCAAAGTAGAAGAGCATTAGCCTTGGGAAAAAAGAGCTCAGAGACTGTGCCCACATGAGTTAAAGCTCCACGAACAAACAGAGAGACAGACAGAAATCCCTCATAACTCCATTCAGAAAATGTATCTGGATATCTAAGATGTTTTTCCTATTCTTTCACAATTCACTACATAGTACCACATCATCCTGATCCGCATTTGGCTAGCTGGAATCTATTTGGTGTTTTATAAATCATTCCACGTGCTCCCACAGAACATGAACAGCCACACCCCCACTCACCAATGGGTTATTCTACAGTTAAGCCAATAATATCTCCATACCATCTCCATGGTCAGCTGCATCATCTTTTCAAGTATAGCTGTATATGGTTTCAATAATGCACACATGGACCACCCACAACTAAACCATTTGCATAAATATAAAATGTTTGATTCATGAAGAAAAAAATCTGCTTTGCTTTAACAAATATATTCTAAATGGTCCTTATCTCCAGAGCATTTTTGAAGAAAAAAAACGCAGAATGGAACCATGAAACTCGGAATATACAATGACTAGGAATTATCTCATTTCACTAAAAAGAAATAAACCCTACCTTTAAACATATGGAAAACTCATTAAACCATTGAGAAATGTGTGTAAACTGCATAGGTTCCTTGGCATGTCGGCACTGGGTCTTTAACACAGTGCCTTAGCATTATTGCTGAGCTTTTCTGCTGAAGGCTAGCATCTACCCATTGAGCCAAACATCACTGGTCCTTGAGATACATGGGATTAACATTATAGGGTATTTCACAAAAGAGAGTTACACAAAGTCTCAACAGAGGCTCATTTTAGAGACTCATTTTAGTGTTCAGGTTGAAGTAGGTGGAGATAGAAAAATAATACTACATGTTCTGATCCCCAGAGAGACAAGACTCAGCCTTAGCATAGCAGCTGTTGTCTGCAAGCTTCTTTGCTGTTTTCTTATTCTTCAGTTGTTTCTGCTCTTGGCTGGTGCTCTGCCACTTGAGCCTGACCCCAGTTCTTTCTTTTTGAGGGTTAACTAGAGATTATGACTTTGTAGTATGAAGAGCAATGAATCATTCAAACCCAGTGTTGTGCCTATTTGATGAAATTGATGGCCAGGAATTGATGTGTGATGGGAAACTTCATTTCTTTTTTCTATTTCATATCTGGACCTAATGTATAAGTCTGGCCTTTTTGCTTACACTAATATGTAATTTTCCCATTTCTATACATCTCTTTTCCCTTGGATTAAAGCTACCATTGCACACATTTCAGGTTTAGATGTCTTTATCTTTTGTGCCAGTAGGGGAGTTTGAACTCAGGACCTTGAGCTCTTGCTTATTTTTTTTGTTCAGTTCTTAAACATACAACTAGAGCCATGCTAAAAATTCCTGACTTTTGCTGCTTCAGTCAATAAGTCTTTCACATTTGGCTGATTTGAACCTCCTTCCTGAGGAAGGACAGGGCAGTCTGGAAGATAGAATAATTGCGATGAGCCAGGACACCTGCCATGTCCTCTGAGTAAGTCCCTCTAAGTAAGTGTTCTTTCTTCCATTGATGATGGCTTTTACTTTTCAGTAAACCTAATGCCTATGTATTTTGTCAACTACATTTCCCCCAAAGGAGCTATTTAATGTCATTTTCAGGTGAAATTTACTTACATATTTGCACAAAG